TTTCTTCACTGATGCACAGAACCCTGGCAATCCAGGCTCACTGGTTAAAGCCCACGCCTGGGCCTCAAAGGCCGTCTTAAAAGTGCCAACTCCCACCCGCCCTTCTCATGCACATGGCTGAGAGGGAGCCTCGTTAGAGCCCAGGTCACCCCAAACGCCCATGTGTAGTTCCCATTCTTCCCTACTAACCAACCCTCTCCCCTCCATTATTCTCTGCCTCACTTGGCTTCCTCCGCTCCCTTTGTCTCCAGAGCAGACTCTAAGTTAAAATAGAAAATTCAGACTGCCCGAATTCCTTCACATTTTATGGATTTAATAGGGTCGAATCAAGATTTAAAATGGCAGAATACCGGAGCCCTGTGTCCTGGGAAAACCCCAGCTACAGGAGGGAAAATGAGAGCCCCGAGAAGTGAAATAAAATTACTTGGAGTCACACAGCCAGAAGACGAACACAGACATCCCAGCTCCCAATCTAGATGTTACTCCAAGGGGAAATATAGGTTGTTTCTTAAAACCCATTCAGGAGCAGTAACTTTTAAGCAAATAATAAGCCTATACTAAATCCAGGAGTTGCTTACATGGGGATCATAACTTAATGGTTAAATTCTAGGCTGTGGGCCAGACTCCAGCTTCACCACTTACTAGCCACACGACCTTGGTCAGTTGACATAAACTCTCTTCGCCTCGATTTCACCACCTAAAATGAAGGTCATGAGCACCTACCTCGTGGGGCTGTTAAAATAAAACGACTCGATACACGTAAAACACATAGGACAGAGCCCAGCCCGTGATACGTATTCAATAGGTTCGCCATCACTCTCAAGATTCAAACCACCGCCCATTTTTTAAAGTGACGTATAAAGGGTTTGGGACATTAAAGATGACCTAGTCAGCTGGAGATCCATTTCCTTCCTGCTGATGATCTCAAACCCCTTACTATGGGTTTGGTGTATCATCATCTCAACATCCCCGAGACGGTTCATCAAAGCTTTAAAGTAATTACAGAGGCACAAAGCGGCAGCCCAAACTGCAAGTCACACAGCATCATGCTCTTCAAAAGCCCTTGCTGACCTCAGCAATGACGCTGTGGCCACGAAGGGCCAGTGCTGAGTAAGACAGAGCGTTTCATCAACTCAACACGCCTGCCTTCCACGACACGGAGAGCCGGGCCCTGGGGTGCAAGGGCACGTGCTTACGGGTGTAGGGACGCTGGTCCCAGAAACGGGCCACCTCTGCCGTAGAGGGCTGAGAAGCCTCCCCCCTCCTTAGTTCATCGTCTTTTTTGCCTTTTTAAAGTAACCCGGACAACTGCATGCCAGTCAGTTCAAACATTTCTCAACTCCTACAACGGCCCGCATGCTGGCCCCTCATGGACGAGGGGATGGTGACGCTGCCCCAAAAGTCCTCAGTGTACTGAATGCCCAGCCACTAATTCTTTGTGGTCGATAACACAGAAAAGGGTGCACTTGCATATTAAACACAAGTTGCAAAATCAATAAAATGTGAAACTGTACCATGTCTTATGGAGCTAATAAATGCCTAAGTCCCATTACAGTTTAATTATTAACCTAAATACACACATCGTAAGGGCAACTTGTACTATTTTTTTTAAAAATAGAACAAAACAGAGTTTGGACATATTTCCACATCCTACTTAACAAGTTATATAGAGATTAGAGTGATGTTGCTCTTATAGTGACTAGCTTTAAAATTTGTTCCTAAACTGTATTAACAGCTAGTGTAAAATATTTGCGAAAAAGGACAAAGACCTTTCAGAGCTGTTTCCTTTGGGAAACAATATGGAATGCTAATGTTTGGAAACCAGAGATCTGCTAGCTTGAAATTCTGGACAGACATTTGCCCAACATGAGATGCACTTAAGAATAACTGCTATTCCCTTGTCATCTCCAGCAAGAAAGATTCGAAAAAGACATCTATGGCCCTGGCCTGTTGCTCAGTGGTTAGAGCGTAGGCCCACACACAACCAAGGGTATTGGGTTTGATTCCCAGTCAAGGGCATGTTACCTTGGTTGCCGGGGATGGTGCAGAGGCAACCAATCGATGTGTCTCTGTCACATTGATGTTTCTCTTTCTCTCTCTCTCTCTCTCTCTCTCCCTCTCTCTCTCCCCCCATCCTCCCTCCCCTCCGTTCTCTCTAAAAATATCAATGGAAAAAATATTCTTGGGTGAGGATAAAAAGAAAAAGACAGCCCCAGGCTCTAAACAAAACACTGGACTTTCTGTAGAGGGTAGATATCAAACTGCAAACTGTAGAGTTACAGCCTGTCATGACCTTAAGCCCAAATACGTATTTACTGCTGACCAAAACAGCTTGAAGCATTTCTACAGATTCACTGTTTCCTCGGTGATGCATACGTCATTAAAAATAGATTACGCACAGATCTCCAAAAGGATGCAGACATGTGCATTAAGTACAGCACAGCTTGTAATAACAAATACATGGGGATAATCTAAATATCCCTCAACAGAAGAGTGATTACACTGTGCTACATCCCGACAGTGAAATTCCATTTGACCACTAGAAAGAACATGGTCGAGCTACAGGTACTGACTAGAAAGATCATACCCTATACTGCAGAGGAAAAGCACAGGGATGATGTTTCTTGTGGGCTACCTCTGGGGAAAGATCACACAGACATACTTCATTTTATGTATCATTCTACATATTATCCTGCAACTAGCTTTTTTCCCTCCCACATGTGTTTATGTATGCATAAAGGTCTGTACATAACGCTAAACCCAGTCCCTGCAAAGGGTTCTGGGAGGGTGGATTTAATTTTCTATGTTCTGTCACATAAATTTTTTTAAACTCAAGAGCATGTTCTATATTTTTCAATTTTAAGTAAATTTTAACTTCACAGAAATGACTTCTGATGCTTACTGAACATACAAGAAGTACATGTGTTCAAGTTTCTCTCTTGTCATCTTCATAAAATATATTTCTATCAACCAGACACTTCTTTTTAGGTCACGTAAGAGTCCTCCCCCTCCCCATGCCACAGAAAGTTATACCCCCCTTCCCCCACCCCCAGTGCACATGGCCAGAGGGGGAGTATTCTGGAATCTCTAAAAATGATCAGAAATCAAAGACTAAAAATATATCAAAGCAGAGTCTGTTCGCTGTGACATTATTTGTTTTTTGTCTAATACATCACCTTTAAATTCCTAGCTCCTCCATCGCACCCGCAGAGAAGTGATTCTGGTTTCTTTTCCCACAAATCATCGCTCTGCTTTTCCTCCCTTCAGCCAGGAGGACTTGCAGGATCTCCCGTTTCCCACCGAGAACCCCCGGGGCAGCCTCTGCCAACAGCCAGGCTCCCACTGCAGGACATCATGGACAGTCGGGGAAGTCTTTCTCGTTCATCCTTTAGGGTTTATCCCATGATTAAACATTAAAATATAAAAACTTATGAATCACTGAGCCTTGAAAATGCAATGCCAGATATCTAAGCTCTTTAAAGCAACTTTTTAAAGAAGATACATTCTGGTGGCTATTCTGGAAAGACATCAACACAACTGACAAGTCCAGTTCCCTCTACCGGTGAAATAGAAGAAAATATTATAAAATAGACCCAATAACACTAACAATGGTGAAGACTGGCTTCGATGTTCTATTCTTTATACTTATATTTTCTAGCTTCTACCCAGACACATATAAACTATGTAATAATTTTTTTAAAGGGCTTAAAGAGCACAGTGGATATGATCCATATCAAGCTGGCAAACCAGACAAAGGCAGCACTGCTCCGATGCCGCCGTCACGTTCTCCTAGGGAACCTTCTGAAACACTGTCGGCATCTTGGAAATGAAGAGAAATATTCCCTCCCCTGGAGACCTCCCTCGTCTCCCTGAGCTGAGTCAATTACTCACTTCTTCATATTCCCCCAGCACGCTGCTCTACCACTGTCATCCCAGCAAACATATTTCTACACTCAAATTCTCAATTCGAGTATCGCATTTCCCCCTTCAGTTCCAAGCTCCCCCAGGACCAGGACGGCAATGCATTGATGTGTGTGGCCCCGTGACAGTGTCTGACATGTTATCAGTTTCCAGGTTTCTGGGATGAATGAGAAGTGTGCTCCCTGCAAATTCGCCCGAACATTTCACTGAGCCCCGATGGTAATTGGGCGCCTGGTGAATCCCACCGGAGGTGCCCATCACGTGCATCAGAGAAGCCAAACTCTCCTGTGACTGGGAGCAACCCCAACACCCACATTTTCCAATGTCACCTTGACAGTGGCAAGAACAAGCGCGTAGCTGCCAGTGCACAAGCAGACCCTGCCTGGGAGTGAAGGAGAAGGCACGCCCCTTCGAACAGGGTTTCTCCTTTAGGGCTGACGAGCTGATGGTGTATTTCTAACAATGGTGGTGGATACAGGAGTATTCGTTTTCTTCTTTATAACTTTCACATGTTCTTACACGTCTTTTGTATGATTCAGTAGTCACTGAAACCATTAAAATATTTCCGAAGACTTTTTTCCTAGATTTAACACACATACTGTAAACACCATGTTCTGGGCACTATATTTTGGGGGGGTTGCACATGAAGAAGTCATATGTGGGAGACACAAATACAACACAATAGGACACCACTTACACAAGGGCTCCCAGTTTTACAGAACCCAGAAAAACGGTCTGCCCCATCATTCTTCCTGCTTCCCGTCCCCCAAGGAAACGAGGAAAACCTTAGGACAACCCTTGCGAGAGGGGAAAAACGAACTACACCCAAATGCACAGCTCAGTGAAAGCGACCGGGAAACACGTCGAGCCACCTCCTGCCTCTTTTAAAGGAAAAGTGGCTCTTTCCCTTCACTTTCCATTCTTCTCTTGAGCTTTGTCCTGCAGAGAACCTTGAAACTTTGAAACGTGTGCTATGTGGAACCCCGCAGCGTTAACAGAATTTTAGGTATGAGTCAGCTCAGCCCTGATGCTCCTCCCTGAAGCCTCCCCAGGGAAAGAGCCACCCTCCATCTGCTTACCACGTGTGTTGGTAGCCATGTCGGCCACTTTCTGAAAGGCGTCCAAGAAGGCAGCTGCCGCTACTACTGTTGTCCTAAAATACAAACAGATGACACAGGCATGAGAAATGTCATTAGCGCTCAAGGGCTAAAACCTCCGGGGCGGACGGCACGTTATCCTCAGGACAACCCAGCCAGCTGGGCAAGGACAACCTTCGGCTTTGTGGTCCCACTTTGTTCTTGGGAGGCGTTCCTCCTCCTCACATTATTCGCAGCCCTGCCCCAGTCACGCCCAGCTCCTTCGGTGCCAGTCAATAAATGCCGGCAATCCCTCCCATGCCCTCCTGCCCATTACCCGGTAAAATTTCACAAAGGAGGGAAAGACAGGTGTTTCTACCGAAAAGAAAAACATTGTTAAAAAATATCAAGGGTACCGGTAAAAATTAATTTTAGAGTAGGAATCTTAGCGAGAGATCATCTAGTGTAAGTAACTCATTTTAGAGAAGGGAAAACGGAGACCGCATCCGCAAGGTGGCTTTCCAACTACCTTCAGGCCAGAGCTGGGACTAGTAGCCAGGCCCATGACTCACAGCCCCATGCTCGTCCCACTACACGTCAATATCCTGGCTGTGTGACTTTCCTCCGAAATCGTAATCACAGTGAAACATCTTTTTCCAACCTTAGAAGGCTACCTCAACTGTACCTTCTGAATTCCTAACAGCTGAGAATAGGGAGAAGTTACTACACTCATTTGCTGGCCTAGAAATGATTTTGAACTCGTCACATGCCCTTGAGCACTGTAAGATGCGCTGAGCGCTCTGCGGTCTCCTGCTTCCTGGAGCTGGGATCCGAGATGTCATCCAGTGAAGAGCAGATGATGGATCCCCCAAACACGCAAGCCAGCCCCAAGATCTGTACTTTACAATCGAGCTCTAACCTGATGTAATTTCTAAGTATTTTACATACGAATCCAGTCTTTACTGAGCATGTGTATGAATGCAATGTTGCTGAAGGAAGGAGATGAGGATAAAGATAAAAAGGAAAGAGTTCAAAACAGCGACATAGAAAAGAAATGGCCTTTAAATATAAGCAACAGTGGCAATGGAACAAAAGGCTCCTGGTGCTCGGCGTGGTCTCGGGGAACACCGGGCACCAGTCCCTGAGCGCTGAGCTTCCAAATGAGGCCTGATATTTTCCATTCTGCTCAAGTTTAAATATATATATATTATTGATTTCAAAGAGGAAGGGAGAGGGTGAGAGAGATAGATACATCAATGATGAGAGAGAATTATTGATCAGGGCTGCCTCCTACACACCTCACACTGGGGATCGAGTCCACAACCCAGGCATATACCCTGACCAGGGATTGAACTGTGACCTCCTGGTTCATAGGTCAACGCTCAACCACTGAGCTACACCGACTAGGCTCTGCTCAAATTTTTTTTAAAATGACATACAAGAACAAAACCATAACGTCAGAAACCCCACCTCGAAGCACATTGTTAAAAGATCTGACATCCAATGCAAACCCTGGAAAAGTTAGCTTTCTCAAACATCCTAGGATTTATAAATAGCTCATTCTGGCGCACAATTAATATCTGACACAGTGGCTGGATTTATTCTCATTCGAGTCCATGCCAATCATCCAAATTTAATGAGCCCGCTGTAGGGGTGCCTTGCCCATCACCCATCATCAGGGCCGCATGGAAAACGAGGTGGTCAAGTGTGACGAATTCAGAGCTTTAACCACGGCTCCCAGTGAGTCATAGTTCAGTATCTGCTGTGTCACGAGATCTCTTAGGCCTCTGGGATCAGACAGGACACACATGCAGCCACGGGCAGCAGGAAGGAGCGAGTCTCGGGTTTGAATGCTCCCGGGCTTACTTGCCTCTTCTACAGTCTTCTCTTCATCCTTTCTCAAACACAGACAACTACACCATGTGCGTGGGGCCCCCCGCGTGCCCTCAGCCGATGCTAGGAGTCTGACAAAATGCAGAAATGGTCCCTGCTCTCAGGAGGCCTAAGTGTTGTCAAAAAATACAAAATGTACTTTGCACCAGTGGCGGTAAGATCCGATTGCTCTAAGTCTTACTTGGTGTGTTGAATCAGTTAATTACTTGAAGCTTCGGCTTCCTCATCGGTAAAAAGGAAAGGGAATCTTTTCCATGGTCCATCTTGAAAGCTTGCCAGACAATTAAATGAGGCCAGATAAGGAAAAGTATGTGTGTGGTGGGGGGAGGGCGGGTAAACATAAGCGTCTTATTGTTTTACTGCAGAAAACCTCCTGGATGGAGGCGAACCTATTTGAAATAAATGTAACAGTGGCCAAGCTGCGGGGTGGGCTGCAGATATAACTAACAAACAAAGGGAAGGGGCCTGCATTCTGAGCAGAGGAGTTTGGATCCTTCGGCATAAAAGAGAAGGAGCCGGACTCCAGGGCCCACTGTCCGCCTGGAGGCCCACTCACGGCTCTGGACACCCAGGTTCATGGGTGGAAACCCCAGGCAGGAAGGTGCAGGAACGAAGGGGAAAAGATCCACCTCTCCCGAGGTCCTCTCTTCTGATCTCCAGGGAGCCATACCCTGTCCTGCCCTGTGGCCAAAGCTCTGGGCAGTAACCCCTGGGGTCCACAGGCAAAGGCCCACGAGCATCATGCCATCCTTCCGCCCTCTCTCTGTCATCCGCATAGCTTTTGATAAAAAAAAACAAACAAAAAAAAAACAACAGAAAACCTACCTGCTTTGTTCTCTGGAAAACCATCCTCATACATCCGAACCAACCTATGTCATCCCCATAGGCCATGAACAAGGGCCATGACACTGATTGCTTTTTCAAGGTCCCATCCCTCATGGAGCACCCGCAAAGTGCAAAAGTGCCCCTTCTTCCCACTGATTTATGGGCATATAGTCTTAGCAAGAAGATGTTGATATATTTCCTATTTCTTATCAGACAATATATGAACAAGCACAAGATGAAGCAATAAGAATAGCCCCTGCGAGCATTATCAGCACTAAATCTTATGGTTTTTTAAAGTGGCTTTACTGAGGCATCATAATTTGTATACCATAAAAATTCACCCCTTTAGGTACACGACTCAATGATTTTTTAGTAAATTTAGAGTTATGAAACCACCAAAGCAATCCAATTTTAGGAACATTTCCATCACCCCCCAAAAATCCCTCGTGTCCATTTGTAATCAGTCTTCTTTTCCATTCCTGGCCCCAGGCAACCACCAATCTACATCTGTGTCTACAGATTTGCTTTTTCTAGACATCTCATGTAAATGGGATTCTATAATGGTCACGACTGAGTTTTAAACTCTTTATACGAATAGGCAGTAAGCAGAATGGACTCTGGAGCCAACTCCGTAAGTTCAAATCCCTGTCACCAAACTCCGTAAGTTCAAATCCCTGTCATTTACTAGCTGTGTGACTTTGGATAAGTTATTCAGCTTATCCACCTCATGTAAATGGGATTCTATAATGGTCACGACTGAGTTTTAAACTCTTTATACGAATAGGCAGTAAGCAGAATGGACTCTGGAGCCAAACTCCGTAAGTTCAGATCCCTGTCATTTACTAGTGTGTGACTCTGGATAAGTTATTCAGCTTATCCATGCCTCGGTTTCCTCGTCAGTATAATGGGGATAACAGCTGTGCTTAGCCCTTGGGGTTCTAAGATTTAATTAAGTTAACACATGCCTGACACATAGTGAGTGCTCTATGAATGCTGCCCATTATTACTTTACATATAACACCCCGTTTAACTCTCACAGTTCCTGTGGAGGAGGCAGAGCAGATGAGTTTAATTTTATATGTGCATCGTGGAGCCATCCCATACCCTCCTTTGTCTACGGATGTTGCCATTTTCCTGGGAAGACCTGCTTCTACTTACCGAAGCTGGGACTGCAGTTTCCCCGCTTTGTTTATGAAATCTTCCCAAACTGGGTAGCTCCCCTGCAACAGAACAAAGCCATCAATCAGTAAGTCACGCTGTGACAGACATCTGATTCAGACAATAACACAACACCCGATTCCGATGACACAGGAACAATCTGTGTATGCTCTCTTCCCTGCCATCTGGCCTACGGCCCCGGTGATATATAAATGTATTGGTCCGGGAATGGGTTTAGAATGTGCTCAGTCCTGTAATCGAGTCAACACTACAGACAACAGCTGGAACACGTTGGGCAGAATCTAATACATACAGCGATGCATCACTTTTTGAGTCAATAGATGGTGGGTCCAAATTCAAGATGTGCAGGATATTCAAGGCTCTACCTTAAATATTCTGCATAGCCTGGGAATTACTTCCTGGGAAAGGCCCCCTTTTTTCTCCACCTGATCACGGCCCTGGCTGTTCTCACTCTTATTCCAAATGGTAGGGAAGAGGGAAACAGAGGGACTGGGGCTCCTCCCAGGATAGGGACCCATTGGGAAGCATCATCAGAATCTCAAGGTTGGGAAGTTACATCAATAGAGCCGCTCCACTGATGGCTTGAACCTGGCATCTAAGTACAACAGGTGGCCCCCAGCACACTTAACCATCACCCTCCCTCCCATGGCAGCCTATATCTCCTACCCTGTCTTATATATCCATGCAGCCCTAAGTCTATCCTTCCGGGCAACTTCACAGTTAAGTTTAATATTTGTCTACCCACTATTAAAATGGACTATTTCTGGGAGCTAAGATTTAGACCAATGAGTTGCTTTCTTGGTCATACTTTCCTCTCTGGCTATAGTTTGGATCTTGTTTTTTGTTTTTGTTTTTTAATAAGGTCATGTATCATTTTTACAAAAACAATAAAAGTCATTACATAAAAATTTTAAGATCAAATTAGAGGTTCTGGCAACGACAGCACCATGAATTTACAATCCATCCAAACCCTAAAGTCTCTTGCACACAAGCTTCCACATGGACGTCTTTTCAAAGAACTGAAGATAACCAGCACATCTACCCACAGCTTTTCTTCTTTCAGCCGCCCCCCAAGTTCAATTCCATCTCTACCTGGGACCCTGCTTTACATCCCCACAGCATCCTGGGAAAATCCATCATGTCTCCCTACTATTTATTTATATTGATCTTTAGAGAGAGAGGAAGGGAGAGGGAAAGAAAGAGAAGCATTGATGTGAAAGTGAAACATCCATCAGCTGCCTCCTGCACGTCCCCTACTGGGAATCGATCCTGCAACCCCAGCATGTGTCCTGACCCTGCCTCCTGCACATCCCCTACTGGGAATCGAGCCTGCAACCCCAGCATGTGTCCTGACTGGGAATCCAACTGGCAATCTTTTGGTGCAAGGAAGGATGCCCAACCAACTGAGCCACACCAGCCAGGGCTCCCTACTCTTTTTCTAAGCAAGGTACTCAGACATGAGCTCAAACCTGCCGGTACAATTCTGCCAGGGCGAAACCGAGCGGGGCCTGACACCTCCCTGCACCTGCACATTACATTTATATTAAGATCAGTAGCCAACCGACCAATAGGCGATGCAAAACAAACCCAGAGAAGCGGAAACCATGGTGACAGAAATGTCGCTTGTCATTGAATCATTTAAATATAGAACTAAGACTAAACACCTGGGGGGTTTTGGGTGCAGGACAGAACATAAATACTATGTTAAAAACAACACAGGCCACCTCTTGATTTCGTTGTCAAGGGCAGGAAGGAGAAACTATGCAATGACATAAATCATCTCATCTTTCAATACAGAGGCCCAATAAATAGTCTGAAGCTGCAATTTAGCTAAAACTTAACAATTTCACCTTCCTAATGGCTTTAATAGTCATTTTTTCTTACCCTTAGAGCAGTTTCTCAACCTGGCTCAATACAGAGGCCCAATAAATAGTCTGAAGCTGCAATCTAGCTAAAACTTAACAAATTCACCTTCCTAATGGCTTTAATAGTCTTTTTTTTTTCTTACCCTTAGAGCAGTTTCTCAACCTGGACACTAATGACATTTTGGGCCAGATAATTCTTTCTTTAAGGGGCTGCCTTGTGCATTATAGGATATTTAGCAGCATCCTTGACCTGCACTCGGTAGATGCCAGTCGCATTCACAGACACCGCTGGCTGTGACAACCCAGATGGGTCCAGACAATGCCAGATGTCCTCTTCGGGGCAAAACCACCCCTGGTTAAGAAGCACCGCGATAGAGGAATAGCTGAGAAACTCATTTCTCTGGCGCAGAAACAGTTCTCTGGAGCTTAGCGATTTGTTTGGTATCACTTCAGTTTCAATTTTTCTGTTAAATGAAAGTGAAGTTAAATATGTTTTTATTTTGAAAATATCATGCAGAACACGAACACCTTGTTACAAAAGTGCCGTGTACACCTTTCTCTAGCAATCCAGTCTGTCTGACAAGGTGCAGGCAGACATCTGGAAAATTATCTACCAAACAGTAAAAGGGACTGTTTCTGGGAGTTAAGATTTGGACCAATGGATTGCTTTCTTGTTTGTACCTTCCTCTCTGTCCGTAGTTTTTGTTGTTGTTGTTAATAAGCTCATGTATCATTTTTATGAAAACAATAAAAGTCGTTTACATTAAAAAAAAACTTAAGATCAAATTAGAGGTTCTGGCCACAGCAGCACCGTGAATTTACAGCCCGTCCAGACCCTGAAGTCTCCTGCACACAGCTGAGAGCGCACCCATCACCTCTGCATCTGTGCCTCTGAGACCTGGTGGCCCAACTGCAGGCCTCTGGGTCACTCCTCCAGGCTGCCATTTGCTCCCATGGGCTGCTAACCTGCACCAGGCCAGGGATCCTGTCTGACTGGTTCCTGGCAGAGGCCCTGAGGCAGCTACACCTGAGCTACTGACACCAACACCCATGCACAGGTCTTGTCACCATACTGCGCAGCCACATGGCCTCCATCCCATCTTCCTGCCCTGGTTCTTCAACCCAAGAGCATAACTTTATTTTAACTTATGTTGCAAAGGCTCAGGCTACCACCATTCTAGGTCCATCAGACCTTGTGGGAAAATCCAATGACCCACTTAACATATTTACTATTTTCTGATCCAGTCCAGATATGAACACCCCTTCTACACCCACATCCAAGTAAGGAAAGAGTGGAGGGCCAAGATCAGAGTCCGCTGGCTGGCCAGTAGAGCTCTCTGACCAGACAGGTATCAGTGAGCATCCTTAAGAGTGCAAGAGTTCAACCAACAATTACCACCGTATCTAGCCATTTCTTCTCTTTCTGACCCACAAGGCAGTATAAGCAGCTTTTTTAAAAGCCCATGTTCAGACCACTGACCACCAACTTCTAGCCAAAGTCACCATCACCTCTCATCTACACCAAGAAGGACATGAGAGCTACCTCTTCCTCTCCCCAGCGCCAACCACTCCCATCCAGCGAGCCCTGAAGAAGGTCACTGAGATGAACCAGTGGCAAGAGGCCTGAGCAGGAAGCATCGAGCCCTGAGTTCTAGCCAGGATCCTGCCAGTAAGTGACTGGATGAAGTCACTTCACCCTCTCAGGGCCTGTTCCTCCTAATAATAAATAATAATGAAAAACAATTCCATCACCATCACTGAACACTGACATTACTGAACATTGAAAGACTACACGGAAGGAATAGAGAACCCAATGCAGGAGTTCAACCTCCTGGACCGAATCCTCACTCTCGTTTGCAATGTGACACTGGGCAAGTCGCTGGAGCTCTGCATGGGGACGGTCACCACTTCCCTGGGTTGGTGTGAGGAATGAACGAGGTCAGACATTAACACGCTCAGTAAGTGTTCAATACACAGTTGAGAGGATTGATCCAAGCGTTTCTCAGGCTGTCGGGAGAGAAGTCATAAGCTCTCTAAGTCAGACCGTCCATCCAGGCGGAAATCCCTCATTCTCCGTCCTCAGTACAGAACCAGCTGTACACGGGTAGTGTGCCTCGCTGTGAGTTAACCGCAGTCACAGCAGAGCGAGGCCGGGGCGGCTGGGTGCACAGTGTCAGACAAAGTCTCTGCCGCTCCTAAGTAAATGGTGGGTAGAGTACTCCAAAGCGAGATGAACGCTCCTGAAAATGACTGCTCAACCCACTTCAAAAACTACTTACCTGCCCCCACTTGGAGCCTCATTTCAGTCTTTACCAAATTAGCAACCAAAGGAGGGTCCCCTCTCTCGTCAAGGGGTGCAGCACGCCGCTCTCGCCCACGCACACCCACTCAGCCCCAGAAGCCTGCCAAGAGCAGCTCTCTCCCGTCTTAATGATATTTGAAGTCTTTCAAAGTGTCAGGCCCACCTCTTTCAGGCAGCCTATAATTTAATGGGTTCTAAAAAAAAATGAATTTCTAAGAACACAAGACAAAAACCTCCCTGTGTAAGAAAAAAACTTTAAGTGTGTAAATGTTATTAAAACTTAAAGGCAAGGTGATTTGAGTTTGCTCCATATTTTTTTTTAAAGTTTCTTTCAAAGTTTCTACCCACTTGAAAGTAGTTTTACTACAAAAACCCAAAAGTATGGAGGAAGGGAGAAAGGAGGGAGAAGGGACGTGGAGAAGAGGTCACAGGGGCAAAGCCAGCGGCTGTTCTGGCCTACCAGACTTAGTCAAGGAAAGCACACTCAAATTTCAAAAGAATTTGCAGGTAAAGACACTGTATGCCCTGAGGACCCTTTCAGAAGGCAATTCCAATACAGTCCCTCATCGTTCCATCTGCACCCCACCCACCAGGAAGTCCCGGCGAGTCCTCTCCCGAGGCCACGTTGCTGCCTGGGTTCGCATTTGAGGAACTCCCTAGGAAGGCTGTCCGGGAGCTGTGGAAGTCTCGACACAGACCCCACTGCGGGGTTCACCAGAGAACACATCCAGGTTTCCACACCTTTCAGACGCATGGAGGGACCTGGAGAGTATCATGTGAAGTGAAATAAGTCAGTCAGAGGAAGACAAGTATCACATGATCTCACTCATATGTGGAATCTAATTAATAAAATAAACTCATGAACGGAGTGGAT